CAGGAGAGGAGGGTGCAAAGAGGCGGGCGTCTGTGTACTGTACCACGTGCGTGACCTTCTGCCGTGTTGCCCTGGCGGCAGAAATTGCGACGGTGGTGTGCAATACCAGTATGTAGTTTTACCCCTCTTGCTCTTGCTTGGATCGGAGCTGTCTATTCACCCGCGATCACTGCACGGCGATCGCGATCTCAATCGACCCCGTTCCTCCGCGTCCTCCGCTATCAATGTCGCCTTGTGGCGTGCGTGGTGGGTGACTTGACTGGTCTCTCTCTACCCCGGCGCAGCCATTCTGCGACTTCCTGGCCTGCTTGAGCGAGATGACACCGGCGAAAAAGCGGAGCTTCCTGCTGTTCGTGCTGGGTTGTCCCCACCTTCCACCCGGAGGGCTCTGCGGTCTGTCGCCCCCGCTGGAGGTGCGACCCGTTTGTTGTTTTGCGCCGCCCGTATCCTGTTTTGATGTATCGAAGGATAGGCAGGGCAGGGGAGACAGGGGTGTTGCCAACGAGCAGAAGTATTCTACCGTCTTGTTTTTTTTCGCCCCGCTTGTGTTGATTCGAGAAAGGGGGGCTAGATGTGCGGTACTTTCGTTTTTTATGTTTTTTCGCATACGAGGGGGTGGCCTAACGCGGTCTCACGTTGTCTTTGCGGGATGGTCCGAGGGACATGCTGCCTTGGCGGGAATGCCGGAGGAATGTCGATTCTCAAGACTCGTCTGAATAGAGAAGGCGTTTTCGCGCTTGTCTCGTGAGCGACACTCAAAGCCGTGGATCCTCCCCCACTCCCCCCGTGAAATCTGCCATTGGCCCTGCTCACTTGACGACTCGTTCGCCCGTCTGGCGTCTTGGACGCGGCTGGAATCGATTTGACACGATTTGCACCAGGTAAGCCGCAAGCAGGGCGCAGGTGGAGCTTTCGCTTTGGAGGACGAGATTGACAGGGAACTTCCTTTCGCGAGGACATGTACACACACGGTGAGCAGATAACAACATGACAAGAAGTCCGTCGAAAGACGCACGTACAAATACGTAAAGAAGAGAAAAAAATACTCAAGATACCAATTAACGGTCACGAAATTTGTTCAACGTTTTTTTGCCTTTGTTGTTGTTAAAAAATATTTAAGCTCTGGTAATCCTTGTGAAACGCAAGTCTGGATGGGCGAAACGTGGCGTTCTGGCATTGTACGGGTGCGAGGTCAATGGGCTAACGACTACGATGTTTGTTTACATGAGCATGCCCCCACCCACGCGTTGCTTGCTTCTCGCCGTTTCCTCGCGGTGCCTGGGACTCTTTACTGCTGTCGTTCTCCAGCTACACCTGCCGCCGTACTCGAAGCGCGAGGTTCTCAACGAAAAGCTCGCGTACGCCATCGAAAACAGCCAAGGCGTCATCGACAGGGACTGACCCTATCCTGCAGCAGCTGCAGCTTGGCCTACAGAAGGATGCCCCCCCCCCCCCCCCCCCCCCCCCTTTTTTTTTT